TAGCAAGCTATGAACAAATAGACAGCTTTGTTCTCTTCCTTGAATATATGTGTTTGCGTGACTGGGGAAGCAGCATATCAGGGGCCAATATTAGTGTAGTACAGTAAAAACCTGTATAAGAACCTACTTTTTTACGGTTAGCCTCAACATTTACAATTTTTTATATACATACATTTACTGCAAGGTTCTAATAAAATGGTCCTTAAAATGGCTAATCTTAGCCTAACRTGTTCTTAATTTTTAGGTTCTTATATGCCGGCTTTTACTGTAGCTGTGAATAGCTAATTTTGTCTGCTCATATGATGTTTAAAATAGTTAAATTAACTTAACTAAGTTAATATTATATTAATTATCACTTCTAATACATCACATGTAACAATGTGACAAAAAAAACTGCTAAATACAACAAGTTTTATAATGTCTTGTCCGATTTTGCCAGCTAATTCAATATGACAGGATGATAATAGCATTAGTGAGGTTCAGCATGATAGAAATACTTGTGTGATACTCTTCCTAGACTTTTCACAATAACATATTAATAAATATTCATTAGCTATGAAATTCTAGGCTTAATTTAGCAGGCAATATTCCCGAAAATATGCCACCGATTACTTTGAAATAAAAACAAATACTTAGAAATGAGTTCGATACGCGTATTGAATTTTCAACAACGCTTGTCGAGTGTTAAATTCAATAAGAATTTTACCAGATACTATGCCTAGCAAAAGTGAGGTCATACTTTCAAGAAAGCATCGGAATATTTTCTCCGATTTTGAGGCTAATAAAACCCACAAAAAACAAAGAAGGAAAGGACGATAAAACTAGTTCTAATTTCCGAACTGTRATACTCTTTCTACGATTACGGGAAATTCACCGTCAACTAAGTCTAAAATAAGGTTTCACACATAATATCGTAAAATTTTCGAGCTAGATTTCTCTGAAAGAGAACCACCGATTTACATTCTTATATGTTAATAACAAACTAGAGAACTAAAACTTACCATAAGACAGGGTTTTGGWGCAGTAGTCTTCGTTATATATCAGATATCCACCTCGAAAAACCCAAGCAAGCCACAACGTGCTGGTGTCAGTCCCGTAAATGGATAGCAGCTTTATATATTTGTTTAGCAATTTAGAACTCAACTGTGTTCTTTCACTCGCTGATTCCAGCCACAATTACACATCAAAAGCCCATTTAGCTATTTCTTGGATTGTTGAGCGTAGAAAATCCTTTTGCGGTGCACAACTGGCGCACGATTTGACACACTCGGTAATCTTTCTCCGCCATTGATCACCAAAACAAAGCAAGTGCCTAAGATGTAATGCGCATGCGCAACAGAATACTYCCCTGTTCAACCCACCCAGATGCACCGCACTGATAATTTTAGCACCTTGCGTCAGTAACTGAGCCATTGTTTCGGCAAGATTAATTTCAAAATGAAAAAAATTAATTCACTGATGAATTTGTTCTCGATAGACTCATTGAAAAAATTAATACTATGAACCCAATATAACAACCCTATCATACATGAACTTCTGTCACCCACATTATTAACAATTTGATGGCCTTTTAATTGCTATCCTTAATATGGAATAATTTAAGTAGATCAAGTTTGTGGCAGAATCTAGCCTCCAGCCTTAATTTCTTAAGAGAGACTGCTTAGATTACCCACACACTAAATAATCACTAAATCAGTCTCTAGTCGGCTCCCAATCAAATCTTCAATTATTAGTTGAGGCCTATTTTTCTATTAGTACGGAAATCAATCTAAGATAATTAGAATTCCCAATGACACGAATAACCTTTAAAAAAATTTTAAGCGAAAATTTCTTACTTTCACAAGAGATAATATAGCAAATGACCATGCATTTCGTGGATACGGGCCGCCATTTTGAAGAGCATGGTTGAGTAAACGAAAGCAAACCTTAACGAATGGATTTTTTTACTTATCTAAATATTAATAAAATCTGAAGCTAAACTGAGAACAGAGAACAAAGAAAAGGCCATTTTTCTTTGTTTAAGTAGTTGAAGTGGTCTGTTATAGGTTTCTATATTTGCAAACAGTGCATTTCGTGCTCTTCTGTCACATGTCAACTTATGTAGAATTTTATTTGAACTCACTCTGAAACTGTCACCGAATCTCTATAATATATGTAAAAAGGCAATTGTCATCATTTTCCCCAGGCGTTCACTTATGGGTTTTGGACAGAAAGCAAAGATTGTGTTGACATTTCTTACAAAGTGTATTTTCACTTGCTAGAAAATAGATGGACTTTTTAAAGACATTTTGAAAAACATTCTTAATGAACTTTAGCCTTACCTTTAGTTTGTCATATCGAGATTTGTTTGACAATTACTTCATCCCTCGGTGGCTTAATTTGTAATGTATTGTGTGTTTTGGGAGGATTGTTCTCTTTATATTGCTACAAGGAACCGCGTCCGTCGGCAACCTTGAGTATCCAAGGCATCTTTGGCGATCAATGAGTGGCACGTTTTAAAGTGTTATTCAATTTTGACTGAATTAACCTTTGAAACAAGCGTTCCCAAAAACAAACAACTTAAGATTTTCAAAGATTACTTTTCGCCTAACGATTTTACAATTGTTTTTTATTTTTTGTTTTTGCTTTTTTTCGTTTTGAGTTGATACTTAATATATCTAGTTTTGATTTTGTCAGTAGTAAAGACAGTCGCCTTCTTGAGTATTTAGGGCTTGTGGTGCTTCTATCTCGATTTGTCGCGCATGAGAGGAAATCTCACCATTGTAAACATTCTTTTTCCCACATCTAAACAGGTTTGCGAGAGCTCGTCTATATGTGTTGTTGAATATCAAATAAATGAAAAAATTCCACGCCTTGTTTGACTCGACAATAAACGAAGCAATAAATCGAAAAAGCACTGAGACAGAGCAAGTACCTCTTTTAAAAAGCACAATGAACGAATAAACGATGATTGGACTCCAACACGAAAAAAATACTACTATTACTGCTAACACCATAGCGACGACTTTACGGTTTCGCCTGTGCCGTCGCAGACGAGCCTCACATGACAATCCTCTAGGCATTTTCTGTCGATGAAACTTTCTAATGATCAAAGACTGCACCACAACGATAATACCTAGCGGTAACACGAACAATATCACTATTAGAGTGAGGAAAAACGCTTTGTTTACTAGTGAAGAGTCGATTGAAGTAGGCCAGATCATTAAACAGTAAGACTTCTCCTTGTAGTTTGTAAGCTGAAACGCATAAAGGAATGGCGAGTGTAGAACCAAAGCGTTCAACCAAATAAATAATACCACTTTCTTAACACGACCAACAAATGGCTTCCGACGATGTGGTTGAACGATCCCACAGAATCGATCGATTGAAATGAAAGTCAAGCTCTCGACGCTTACAGCCACAGAAACATCATGGATAAAATAAACCAGCTTACATAAAATAGAGCCAGTCAGACCGACTATAGGCCACGACCGGTGTCCGTTATGAATCTCCAATATAGCTATAGGCATGAAGAACACAGATGCTAGTAAATCTGACACGCTCATGTTAGCGATGAGAAAGTTGGTAGTCGACCGTAGATCTTTTTCTTTGTAGATTATCAATAAAATAAAGGAGTTGCCCACAATCGATAGCAAGAAAATCAAGCCATAAGCAATAGTCTTGGCGATGTTAGAAGCTGTTGAATCAGGTGTAGGAACGGGGCACATTAAAACCGAATTAGCGGCAGAAATGCTGAAATTAGGCGTGTGATTTAAGGATTCCAGCTGCATTATCGATGAAAATGTTCCAGATAAAACTAACATGAATTCCTTTGAAAATATCTCTGGCGCCTTTTTCTCTTAATCCCAGAAAAATGTTTCAGAGAATCCGCGAATGCGGTTACGGGCGTTTGAGACGAATGCAATCCACTTTAACAAATAGATATATATATATATATGCATTGAAATCACAGACCAAAGACCACATTGAGTACCTTGCAGAACATGCCTTGTTCGTGGATGAATCAACTCGACGGGAATCATTCACTAGGTCGTAATTGTACTGAAAAAAGAATACTGAATGCTTTTGTTAACGTTTCCAGACCCGAACGTGGGCAGGTCGAATACGTGCGTAGATTATGTTTATGCGCCGGGCTAAAACCCTCATTGCCAAATTACGCTAGGACGAAAATAGCAGCTGAGAAGAACTTGAATGATCATTAAATGGAAGGGAAATAGATATTAAAATTGGGTAGCTAAGCAATAGTAAACTGGCTGATCAGCTTAGTGGATGAGAGAGTACGTTTTTCTTGATCTAAAACTATGAAGATTTACTTTTTAAAAACGATCGAAAACCAATACAGTATACTTTGAGGGCTGTTATCGTTGTTTGTATGATATATGCAGAAAGGGACTACATGCTTTAAGTAAATTATCATCTTCATTATAGTGCTTTACTAAGAATTAAGATAGGAGTGACGTATTGATGTGATAATATTGTAATCTTGGCGAATCCAGGAAAAACTTATGGTTAATGAACTTAGTATTGGCTGTTCTAAATTGTTCTGACCACGAATTAAAGCTTGCAACTAATTTGATTCAATTAGATTGGCTGATGGATATTTTGAATCGAAACGAATCAAATATCAGTACTAATGTTCGTAGGTTATATATGTTGAAAAGATGGGGCACGATGTTAGTTTGGCACTGAAAATAGTTGTGTTAGAGAGGCTTTGAAAACATCAATAAACACGTTTGAATTGACCAAGAAAGTGGATTAGAATATGACTAAGACTTCAAACCTTTAAGAGACGATAAAAAGAAACCATGGTTGGAAGAGCCAGGAAGATTAAGTATAGGAGGGATGGGATAGGATGGGATGGGATAGGATAGGATGGGATAGGATGGGATAGGATAGAATAGGATGGGATAGGATGGGATAGGGTAGGAAGGGGTAGGGTAGAATAGAGTGAGATAGGAAGGATGTATATAGGATAGGATAGGAAAGGATAGGAAAGCAAAGAATGGAATGAAATGAAATGGAATGGAACGGAACAGAATNATAGGATAGGATAAGATAGGATAGGATAGCATAGCATAGCAAAGCAAAGCAAAGCAAAGCAAAGCACCGCATTGACTAGCTTAAGCGAAAAACTATACTGATCCAAACCTGCTCTATCATATTTTTTTTCCTCTGTATTTCCGCTTTCCATGAGAAAGTGACAGGCTGATCATACAGAAACTAAGTATCTTTGTCTGCCAACTGCTGCCTGAATACAACCCGCACAGCAGGATATTAAAGCGCAATATATCAAAAGATAATGATGCCTTGAGGCTAGTGATGACGGGAAGAGCCTTTTATTAACACAATCACCATTTCAGTAACAGAAATGGGAAATTTTTCTTCGTAAGGTTCGTTTTTTTCTTAGTATTCAGGCTTATTTTCTAAATATTATTGGTTTCCTCGATCGGACTGTGTCTATCAATCACATCACCGAAGTGGCCACTGGATAAAATTCTAGCTATTTCAATAAACAGTCCATGAACACAAGCGCTTGAGTAGGCGCAGTTCTTTTCAAATTATCGTTTAAAACAATTGATTCGGAAGCTAAGCTTTCAAATACTCGTTCAAATACTACATCACTGTCTAGAATAAAATCAATTTATGAAGTGTCGTCGTTTCAAGTTTATCTTTTTAGCTTTGAACATTTCATGTCAATTAAAGCACAACCATATTGTTGGTCTATTACGCTCTTGAACTTAACTCTGAACACATTTACTACGGCGCATCTTCCTGTATATTAATTCTTTAAAACCAAGACTTCAAGCTGGAGGTGCGACAAAGATATTTGGACTACAGTAATCCAAAATGACTATTTACTCGGAAGTCAGTTTGAATTATTTAACTTCGGCAATGGTTAAAAAACGCATCAGTTTAAAACTAAGCATAATTTATACAAAGTATAGGATGTATGAAATATTTGGTATCTTTCAATACCATTTTGTTTGCCACATTTTAACTTATCTGAATCAAAATAACCCATGTTTTTATCTCCTAACAGGATGTTTTTGCTAATCCCCACAACGAAAAATACAAAAAGAGACGATATTCATCGTGGAAAACGATTTTTCTTGTTTTATAGCGGACATGAACAATATCAAAATAACAGATTTCAGTTAAAAAGACGATTATATTTTGATATAATTCTCTTAAAAATAAAAACAGCTTAGCAAACAAGGATTCAAATTAGTTAAAATAAACACATGAAGCAAAAAATTATCTCACTATTTTAGACGGCCTTGCTTGTGCTGCCATAAACAGCTCTGATCTATTTAAGTTGTCTGTAGAAAATAGTGATAAATCTTGAAAGAAAAAGAAGTTATAACTCAGAACATAGTAGCTAATGAAAAACGATTTCAAATATTTTTGATTAAACTGCTCACATTTGCCCAAACTAATCATACTTGTTATGCTTGGCTTCATTGAACAATCTTTCCGGTCTGTTCTAGCTGCCTTTAACAGTAAAGGTTCATCAATTATTTCTGGTCATTTGAAACTGGCAAAAGATTTCCACGGCCAGAAGTTAACAAAAATGTGCGCACACATGTTTTATATGTTATGGAAGATATAAGACCGTTCTATCCCCACACTTGACGTTAAACCGGGTTTCCATGATATAGATGTTTAATTTCTTGTATTTTAAACCTAACTGCTTTTTTCTTGTTGTTGCTTTTTCCTTCCTACACGTTTGTATGTTTGTTTTTTCGCCGGCGTTGTTTGCCTTTATTTGCTTTCACGATTAAGTATTTTACCGCAGTGACGTTTTTACGTTTTTTGAGAAAAAATTTTCAATCATTCTGTGCACTGTCGTAAAAACTAAAAAACAATCAGATAAAAACATGTGGAAACCATGTTTTAGCTTCTATTTGTCTTACCCGGATTATTTGCTTTTATTTACTTTGATGAAACTGTTTTTACCGTTTTTGGTTTTTGCCTGAATTGAAAAAATCTGGGGATGATACGTAAAACACAAAACACGTTGATACCTAATACAAGAAAACCAGGAAAACAAGAAAACCACTGAGGACTGAACAAAAGCACTAAACACATCATAAAGATATTATAACTATACATTATAATAGCTAAATTATAGCTCTCGAAATCATTGAACACTCGCTTAACTCAAAGATAACATCCTGCTGGTCAAAAAATAAGTTAAGAGGACATTTTTTTCAATAATGAGCAATAATGGCAAAAAGCTCCAAAAACTAGACTTTTGTATGAGTTTTGATCCCAATTTTCGTTTTGGGTTAACACTCAAAACCTTTTTTAAACAGTTAGAGACTGATGTACTATGATAGCTGTTTGAAGAGGTATTTTCAATTGTACAAAGACGTTTTGTTGCATTTGTGTTAAAATGTTGCTTTGTCAGGGTTTTTTTATAGAAAACATATGGGAAATAAGCTTGCTCAAATGAAGGCCTAAACCTCATTTTCGAATAAAAGTTTTGCTTTTTGTTAACACTTTTATTCCACTTTCATCGGTCATCTCCACTTCCAAACAACTTCATGTCTGAATGACAAGATTTCAGCCTTGTACGACAGCCTTTAATTTCTTCAAGAAAATAGTTTTTGGCGCTCACTGCTTGAATACGAAAAGAATTCTCTCTTAAAGCTTTGTTTTCATAGGCAGTTTTTTAGTTATACTACCCTCTCAATATTTCTCTCAATATACCTGCTCGTGGCTTTTCCCCCCTCATTGCTTTAAGTTTCCATTCTGTCTTTATTGGCATTACATGTAAATAAAGTGTTGTTTTTTTACCGTAACGTTTTGGGGTTTTTGAGATGATATATCCTACCTTAAAAACGGCAAGAAGAAGAAGGGGAGAAAACATAAAATCACAAAAAAGTATATACGGAAAATAGGCTTCATGTTTTGAAAAAATAAAAAAATGAGAGGAATTCAGTAAGAATAGTTTAGAGAGTGGCAAAGTAAGTCAGTCACTCAAGGCCATTTCAAGGCCATTTCAGGGCCATTTCAAGGCAAACCTACAGTTCGTGCCGACTCTCAAATGATTTCCGATTCCCCGTGCTGTGCTGTCATTAGATAAAGTGCTTTTTCTTTAGATTTAATTGGTTAATTCTGGATTCAAGCCACCTGGTTCACAGTACCATCCTTTTTGCGATCATATTACGTTGTCAAAAAATACTCCATTTTTTCCAACTAAATTGCACATTGCGATTGGATGAGAAGCATGCGAACAAACAACGACAAGCCATTTCAGTGTTTCATCAGGGGTGTCCGTTCTCTAAAGGCCGGATTAGACGGTACGATTTTCGCCTACAACTATCGTATACAACACGCTCGCGTCTGTCGTAGGCGAGTTGTAGATTGATTTTCACGCTACGACTCGAGTTGTAGGATAGCGATAGTTGTAGGCGAAAACCGTACCGTCTAAACCGGCCTTAAGAGTACTGCCCGCACCGTTGAAGGTTTTCCCCCCTCACTCAATTATTAAAACAACAATACTATTCTATCAGTCATGGTCAATCAAAATCATATTAAAAAAGTGCAGTTCAGGTTATGCTGAACCGGACAACCTGTAAAGAGTCTGACAGATAATTAGATATTTGACAAATGGCAATAATCTACTCATTGGTGATTTTTAAAATTATAAATCAAACGTCAGCTAAAACATTTCAACTTCAACCAAAAGCAATATTGAAAATGCTTTTAAACGTGTACAAACTGGAGTGCAGCGTAAATAATGTTCAATTTCAAACTTGACAAATGCCAGTGTGAAGGAATAATGATTCACTCTACCACAGACAAGCTACGCCATGTTTTTTTTTCCTTCAGCAATATTGAAAATGCTTTTATTTAACAATTATTCGCCGAAGGCGAAGTGAATATCGAAACGAAGTTGAGATTATTATTCCCGATATTCACTGAGCCTGAGGTGAATAATTGTTTTAGTATGAATACACGGGTGATTCTTTCAAAAAAAGAAAAGAAAAGAAGATAAAAGACACATTTAAAATTAGGAACAGCAACAAAGCGGCTGGCGGCCATTTTTGATTATCGTGTGATAATCTGAGTTTCTCGACCAATCAGCGCGCGAGATTTTCAATAATCACCTGTGTATTTATACTAAATATGTATCAACTATCAGAGTGTAGCGTAACAAATACCCGTGGGCCAAGCAATATTAATTGAACTAATCTACTAAGTTCATTTTTTTAAAACGCTTTTTTAATATGTATGACTAGAGGGCAGCCTAAAAAATATTACTTTTAACTTGGCAATTATCAGTAAACGTTTTGGATAATGATGTAAAGTAGCAGTCTACTAGCTACAAAGATGTTTAGCCCATTTTCCAATTTTCGTTCCGTTTTCGTAGAATACAAAATTCTCTTACTGAGTGAAGACACTCGAGGCGTGAACACTTCGCCGAGCTTTTTTTTAGGTTATTATTTCCTGAACTTTCTGCTGTTTCAAACCCTCTATAATAAAGGAATATTGATTATATTAATGAATTATTTCCAATCGATTGGTTCAAGGGATGATTTATAGTAATCATTTCTTTAAAAAGTCAACAACAACAACAACAACAACAACAACAACTGTTCGAGTGTCCTCCCTGAAACATATCTTGAATCTCTTTTTATTTCAATTTATCAACTATAATTCTACTTGTCGCGTCCTGTTGAGGTTTTGAACGACTTTCTCAAATACGATTTTTTATCATTCATAATAAAGTTGCGCTGGTAAATGTCTTGTTCAGAGACTAAAACGTCTGAACCATATGCAGTATTTTAATTACAGAAAAATCTGTAAGTCAGAAACGAACCTTTATAAGTATAAATTTCACAGTGTTATTTTATTCTATGTACTTCAAATGATCTTTTTTAGGACAAAGTATCTGTTTTAGGATATTTTTAAGTAGGATTTTCAATCCGAAAATTAAAACGAATTTTAACCATCAAAACAAGAATCGACCCATCAAGCCTAGTAGTTGTCTATTTATTAATCTAATAAAGCCAGATTTATTTTCTTCAGGATCATTTGATCAGTTATTTCGGTTCAGAACGACGTACTTTTAAAGTCATTTCCTTGGAGAGTAATTAGACATGACGAAGGTAAAGGAGGCTATTTTAGTCATATTTTCTCATTCAACGACTAAGTCCTAACTGACCTACTCAGGAGAACACGACCGACCGAAGATCGACGACGGCTTAATGGCCAAGATGTTGATGTAGCGATAAACCAAGAGTGGGTTTACAAAGGAAATCAGCCCAAGAAAAATTAACTGGAGGTTAAGATCCGATTACTAGCTGTAAATGGAACAAATAATGATCTTAATGGATGATGAGACAGATGAAGTGATATGACTGACATATACGATGTTTTGTTCTTTCAAACAAGCCCGGTAATTTCCAAGCCCACGGATACGAATGCAACTATTAATTGATTGTTTATCTGAAGCTATGAATACCCAATAGTAATAATTCCTAAAGACGTATTTTATTTCCGATAAAAGACGATTTATGGTGTTTTTAAGCCTTTTTGCAGTCGTCTTTTACTTGACCTGTCTTCCACCTGTTGCAAGTTTTTGGTTCTTTTCGTGTCGTCATGGTAACGGTAATGGTGACGTAGGTTATTCTTGCTGGGCTTTGTGTCAGTGTCGCGCGCCAAACACCTGCGAGGCTGGTGTCCAGCGGTGTGTGTCTCCGGGACAACTGAATGATCACTGTCACCTTACCAGGCCCTGTGGCAGGGGACTCAGCTGTCATCCGGGAATCCAGAAATGTTATCACGTGCCAAGACGTCTGTATGAGCCCTGCGTGGCGGGATATGAGTGTGGCAGCGGTCTTACTTGTCAACCAGGAATTCAGGTGAAGTACGATTTTAATTTCTATTGCGGAATATCAACTCGGGGGGGGGATTCCAGGTTTCGGTTCCTGGACTCGGCATTACATGTGAGCAGAGTTTGTTAGATCTCTCCCTTGATTCTCCAACATTTCTCGATCAGTTTTGTAGATCATAGAAGGATTCGTAAGTTTGAGCATATTTATGAGCTATTAACTATATGGTTTGAGCTTACAGCCAAAGCAAGTAAACAAATAACATGACAAATAACATGACCAACTATTCCATCAAATCAAAGGTTTGTTTCCACGCCTTACGTCGTTACAATGAACCCTGTGTTGGCGGATATTCGTGTGGTCCTGGGTTGAGCTGCCAGCCCGGTGCTCAAAGATGTCTCCATTCCCCGCGCTTGGAAAATGAGCGATGTTCTTTGGGGTTCGAGTGTGGTACTGGTTTAGAATGCACGCTCTGTGCTGAACCCTATTTGACATGTCAGTTAGGTCGAATACCAGATCAAGACGAAGAGGTAAGGTCGAGGTTTTTAACTGATTGTTTTTTAGGCCGGAGTTTTTAAGCAACTAGTGAACATTTTGTTCGGTGTCTAGTTGAATAACACTAGTTTACAATGTAATGCGTAGAGCTGCCGCACAGTTTGAAATCTTGAGGAGCGATTATGACCTTAACATCTACCCTGGCCGTTTTCCTTCATGAACTATGGATCGAGTATTTTTTGCAATCGGCTGCGCTGTGATCTATTAACTCAAATTAATCTATAAAGCTGCGATATTAATTGTTGTATATATTCTTACCTTCAACAGTTTTACAGACGTCCTTACAACAAGGTAGCATTTCTTGTTACCCACAATTCTTTTTCCAATGGCGTCGAGTACGCGGTCTGGGTCCACAATCAACGGGTCAGCGTTGCGCAGCAACTCAAAGACGGTGTGCGCGGACTCATGCTGGATATCTATCCTGGTAAGCAATCTAAAACAAAACAAACCCCTTCAATTTTTGATTACTAATATTATTAGGGCTAAAAATCCTTTAGCTATCATGCGCGCAGACGTTAGGAAGGGGTTACAAAATGCATGCGTGCAAACGTCTCAGTTATTTGTGTTTCTTTTTACCATCCAGGGTGGGGTAAGGCGGAGGTTCGACTGTGCCATGCCGTCTGTTTCTGGGGCGGTTCAACCGACCTTCTCGACACCTTGATACGAATCCGTGACTTCCTAGAGACCAACCCCCGTGAAGTGGTCACAATAATATTTGAGGATTACCTCAGAAATCCCACCGTCCTGAAGCGTGTATTTGACCAGGCTCGTATCTCTGTTCATGTGCTGAGAAGCGAACACTGGGGGTCACTGTACAGGGACTGGCCTACGCTTGAAGAGATGCGAACGCTTGGACGCCTGGTCGTGTTCAATAACAATGGTCTAGGGGGATTCCCCTATACTGAGAATAATATGTGGTACTACGTGCGGGAGAACCGTTATGGACACCCTGGACAGGACACTAAGGTGAGATTATATGACGTTATCAACATACAATGCTATCTTTACGCCACTGAAATTAATATTATCAATAACGACCAAGGTATCAGGGAATGATTATAATTATGTCATCACCAGTTTTTTATACGTTGCGCGCTTATATTGAGTACAAATAAAGTCTTTTCGGATTGCAAAGTTGACTAATTATTGCTGCACGAGTGCGCATTTTATTAACAACATTTTGCGCATTTTTGTATGCTGAGAAACAGTTGTATGATACGGCTTTGCATTTCCTTTGAAAACAAAAAAAGTATAGATAAAGAATAACCGTGAGGCATATTGCATAACTGCGTGTGTTACAAAAAAATCCCAGTTATTTCGTCATCTTTTTCATTACATGGTTTTATCGTTTTCGTCGTCGTTGTTTTTGCCTTCCAGACTTGCGTAGATCGAGCAGAATCCCAATACAACGTACACGATAATGATAACTGGAGCCTTGTGCTGATAAACTGGTTTGGCACGATACCCAACCCCCTAGACCCATGCCTTAATTCGTTCCCTACATTACAAGACAAACTCACTACGTGCCAGCGAGCATTTGGTCAGCTGCCTAACTTCCTAGCGGTGGATTTTTATCATGATGGAGAGAAGGGTGGTGCCTTCAAAGCAATAGAATGGCTAAACAAGCAATGGAAAGGTAATGCGTGTTTCACTAGAAGTAAGGCATTCATAATTTATGGAGTGGGTTAGCAATGGGAATTTTACATTGAGATTTTACCCCCCCCCCC